ACGCGTTTGTTCAACACGGTGGTGTCTATGAAATACTCGGCGACCCGATGCGCGCTGAATTGGCGGAAAGTGAGATGAGAACAGTACAGAAAGAAATGCTCCATTGAATAAGTGGGACACACTCTGGCACCATCCTTATTTGTATGCATGAATCTTAACCTCAACCCATTTTGTGACAATTTTTTTTCCATAAATATTTCTTCAATATATTTTTTCTGACTTTATTTTACTTCCATTAATTAATTAATTCTCAAACTTTATTTAGCTCCTATTTGGAGCCCATTATTTGAAAAAAAAATAGAATTTTGATATATGATTTTTAGAATAATGTATAGTTAAAAGGTATGAAAAACTTTGGGTGTACATGCAAAATATTTTATTATGTGAATGTGTGGTTAAAAAATGAGTATGTAAAAAAAAAAGAGTTAAAATAATAATTGTCAATTAGGGACTTAATAAAATTTAAATTTAGAAAAATAAAATAAAATTAGAGTAGGTTTGGAGACTAGGTTCCCAATTCCTGGCAAGGAGGGGCATTTTCGCCCCAAAGCATGTTCTAACGTGCTTAAATTAAAATTTAAGTAATTATAAAGTTAACTATAAATGTTCGTTTAATAAATTATCGTGAATCTATAATCTATTAAAATATCACATCAATGAAGAATAATTTTTTGAACAATTTTAACCTCCTACAATTGGATTATTTCAATAATACCCTAATTTTCGTTTTTCAATAAATAATAAATACTATAAAATTATTAGCATTTATGAAATTTGAGCTATTAATTATCAATTAATTAACATTTATATTAATCAGATTCAATGAATTTTCACTTGATTAATCTTGAATTACATGAATTTAAAATTATTATAGATGAATTTATTCATATTTATATATCTAGAAATTTTAATGGGTATTTAAATAAATAAATAAATAAATAATATATATATATATATATATATAATTTTTATGTATCAAATGTGATATAAAAAGATTGTTCATTTATATATTAAAATATAACATCAATGAATAAAACTTTTTGAATGATTTTAAACCCTTACAATTCAGTTTTTTAATAATACCCTGATTTTTGTTTTTCAATATGTAATAAATATTATAAAATTATTGTCATTTATAAAATTTGTGTTATTAGTTCTCAATTAATTAACATTAACATTAATTTAGATTCAATGAATTTTCAATTGATGGATCTTGAATTACATGAATTTAGAGTTATTATAGATAAATTTATTCATATTTGTTTATCTAGAAATTTTAATAAGTGTTTAAATTTATGTATTAACAATTAATTTTTATGTATCAAATGTAATATAAAAAGATTGCTCATTTATAGTATTTTATCATTACAAAAAATTTGAATAATAGAAATTGAGTTTTGATAATACAATTTTCTTCTCTTAAATTTCTATGATAAATTTTATTTTGTTTAATTCGTCTGAGACTCATCAAATCTTTCAATAAATTGATATCAAATATTACTTTTACATCACCTATAAAATATTTTAGAATATTATGCAATGTACGTTCAATTTTGACTAGTCCTATAAAATACGTGAATAAAATTTAATCAATCTAATTATAAATATGGAGCATGTGTGATTAAAAATTTTAGAAAAAATTGCAGCAGCGATCCCTTACCTTTTCATTTTTTGCAGTTTTTATCCTAACTTTCATTTTGTGTCAACAGAGGTTTCTAACATTTCATAAATATGTACTTGATGTACATCTGGACGAAAACTGTCCAAAATATTGTCAGTTAACTAAAAAAATTAAGAAATCAACATACAATAAAATCGTCCAAATCACTATCCAAAAATGTATCAACATCCAATAAAATCGTCGCAGTAGCAGATAGTTCAAGGAATTTTCCCGATCAATTAACGGTGTTTTAGACAATTTTCGTTCAGATGGACCTCATGTGCATATTTATGAGTTTAGGGACCTTTGCTAACACAAAATGAAGGTATCGGTAAAGTCTGCAAAAAACAAAAAGGTTAGAGAACGCTACTGCAGTTTTTCCAAACTTTTAATTCCTAATGACTTGAATATTAAAACATCATTTACGACGATTATATTATCATTACAATTTTTATTAGGTATACTATATTTTGATTGTAGTTAAACTCCTTAATCTTTGTTCATTATAACAGTTATATTCTTAATTTTTTTTGGAATTCTTATCTTCAACTTTTTAATTAATTAGTACATCTCATCCTTGATGATAATTTATATAAAAAAAAATTTGTTTCTATGCTTTGAAATGAGGTAAAAAAAACTTATTACTTTTTTATTTGTTTTTTTTTTAAACATGATGAAAAAATAAGTTGTTATATGCCATTTTAACAAACTTTTTGAACATAAACTATTATCAAAAATAAAATGTGTCAATTAATGAAAAATTTGAAGATAAGAATGTAATAAAAATCATTAGGGACATAAATACTATAATGAGTAAGAATTGAGAACGTTAAATATAATTAAAATGTGACCTTAATTTATTTTTTCTTTTTAATGTGAATATAATTACACTATCATTTATTCTATTGCATCTATCATTTTCCTTTATAACAAGTGAAGCTGTTACGGTCAAAGTATTTATTAAATTTGGAACTATATAGAAGGCTTTAAATAAAGATTATTAAAATCTAGTCCCAGATATTAAATGAGGAAATAAATAAATCTAATTAATATTGATAGTTTGTGATGGTGATTATTTTGATAATCAATCCACCATGAGAAAATGGAGCAGAAAAAGCCTTTTTTTTTTTTTTTTTTTTTAAATGAAGTTTAGTCCAAACAGCCCCTAACTATGATTTTAATTAAGTTTGTATTTAATTTTAATTTAGAGAATCTTGACCGGTTTTGTCTCTGATTATTATGAATTAAAACATTAGTTATAAATTAAATTAAAATTATTATGAATTTTTTAAAGCAGAATTATCATGTTGGTATTACCATATTGATGAGCATAGAAAATGTCAAGAATTCAAGTTTCTTTTTTTTTTTTTTTTTTTTTTTCACAAATATTCATAATCCCATCATAACTTTTCCCAGTATTATGGTATCAAAATCAGTATATATGTTACCGATGTTTATCTTTTACTTGTTTTTAAGTATTGCATGGAAATGAATGACCAACAAGCCAGTTTAACATGCTGATGTTAAATATATTGAAAAAATTTCAAAATTTGATAGTCTTGATCTTATATAAAATGAGTATGATATAGAACAAAATCGAAAATTATCGAGTGAATTGTCCAAATAGTCACTGAATTTTGTAAAAAGTTTTTAAAGTGTTACTGAACTTTAAAAATAATTTAAATGGTCACTGAACTTTGCAAAAAGTTTCTACAATATCACTAAACTTTAAAATTCACCTAAATAGTCACTGAATTTTGCAAAAGGTTTTCACGAAATCACTGAACTTTGCTAAATGTTTCTTTTAGGCCACTGAATTTAGTGATCTCTGGAAAACCTTTTACAAAGTTCAGTGATTCCGTGGAAACCTTTTGCAAAGTTCAGTGACCATTTAGGTAATTTTTAAAGTTCAGTGACTCCTTAAAAACCTTTTATAAAGTTCAGTGACCATTTGGACAATTTACCTTAGTGGATCTAATAGAAAGAGACTAATATTTGAGAATTGTAAGTTGCCTTCTTCTTTTTTTTTTTTTTTTCACAAATATTCATAATCCCATCATAACTTTTCCCAGTATTATGGTATCAAAATCAGTATATATGTTACCGATGTTTATCTTTTACTTGTTTTTAAGTATTGCATGGAAATGAATGACCAACAAGCCAGTTTAACATGCTGATGTTAAATATATTGAAAAAATTTCAAAATTTGATAGTCTTGATCTTATATAAAATGAGTATGATATAGAACAAAATCGAAAATTATCGAGTGAATTGTCCAAATAGTC